TAACACTGTGAGACTTTACGAAAACAAAATTTACCCATAATGGAGGTATCCTTCCTTCTGTTGGCTGAGGATACTCCATGGGGCAAGCAGGTGTTAGAACCAACGGTATTCGATAATGAGTACTGATGTCAGACTAATCACTTTACTCTTTCAAATTCCTGGGCAGTTACGTATCAAATAAAATTTGTTTAGCAAAAACAGACATTTTCTTTTACTTTTGATTGACTGACGGTGAGATAACAAATCACGGAGTAGATTCAGCTGGAAACTGAGCGTATTTTAGTCTTGATATCTCTCTCCAGGGATGAGGATAAGCGCTACTGTAATAGAACAGCACAGACAATGATATATCAAGCACGCCGGAATAAACTGTGAAGAGCAGAACACAGACTCGGGTCGAAACATTTCATAATTACTGGCCGTCTCAGTAGAATAGGGAAGCAAAAGTTATGACCATAAAGCGTCTAGGCTGTCACTGCTCAGCCGCCACAGGATTTGAACTAACGCCTATTTCCGGATTCAAACCACTACAGCTATCTTGTTTTAAATTAATATCGCTTCTGGTTACCCCGTCTTTCATTAGCTAGAATGGCGGCAGTCAGCTGGGTTTTTGATTTACCGTAGGTATGTACTATCGTGTACAGTTATGTGAGGTTTTGCTATGCATTGTTTACAATGTAACATTTAACTATTCTAGCGCTGTCTCCTTGTTTTCTGTACAGACACAAGGATTTTTGTTGTACACTCTGTTGAGACTGCTAAGCCGTTATGGTTGTTATCAGTGACTACGATCCTGTGGGGCCCAACGCATTTCTTGAGTTGCTGTTATACGTACGATATTTTCTCCATTTATATTTTCCACTCACGTAGTCTGATATTCTGTGTTTCTTGCAGATTGACTGTGACAAGCTATGGCAACAGTGTGCTTCGTTAACGAGGCATTTTTGGAAGTTCATCGTAGGTAATCGGTGTGGATGGAAACACCATAGATTTAAGAAGCTGAAAACTCATTGGAAGTGACAACGTTATATAGTGCTAACAGTGAAGACCTTTATCACACACCAGTATGTGGCTAAGTTCACACCCAGAGGAAACATAGGCGGGTGAGATATATTGCATCGTACCGAGACAACTTTATGGAGCTATTATCTTATAATTTTCTTCCCCAGAGAACTAATAAAGTACTGTTAAATGATTTCGGCAGTATAGTTCTATGGCACAATTACTAGCCGTTAATGATATAATATATGAGTAATTTTCGCGAAACTATCCGCACTTTTGTTGTGTTCCACATTTCCAAAGTATAAGCTGTGATCATCCGTACTGAATCCTATCATTCAGGTCCAAGGCTTCCTACCGATTGCCTCCAACCATCTGATATCATCAAGTCAATGAGCGCAGTAATGGCGAGCTACATAGAATGGAGGCTACACTGCAAAGCTGACTGATAGAATTCAGTCTGCCCCAAAGAGAGGACTAGACACATCACACTGGTTACTAGTGTCCTGTCAGAGTATCCAGTAGTCCTATAGAAGGTCAATAGTGGGCCCGAATAGCTCAGTGGTAGCGTCTCTGACTAAAGCACTGGGCGACGCGGTCTTGAACCTCAGAAAAGCCATGAGTTCCTTTCAGGTTGCAGATACGCCTTGCCGATGAAGGCCAACTAAAAAGAGACCTAGGTCGGAAGCTTCCTGCCGACTGCCTCCAACCATCTTATATGATCGTGCGTGTTAATCATGTAAGTGCTCGATTTATGTTATTGAATTATTGCTTTGCTTGAGGACAGTGAATTTATTGTGCATCGCCTTAAGGATTATCTGGTCGTAATGAGGTCTGTCAGGTAGTTAAATTCAGTGGAAGCAGATGTAGTCGCATTCAGACAAAGACATCCGAAAAATAATGACGAGCGTCTTACGACTAATCGCCAGATAGGTTTGCATAACCTATTGTAGGAATTGACTGATAAAACAACAAGTGAAGATAAGTTCACTCATCCACTTATAACCATGCAAATATTCTTTTTTGCAGTTTGTGATACCGGGTAACCTTGGTGGTGGGCGTTTACTTCTGTTCACTTGAATTGAGGAAGAATTTAAACGTGACGCAATTTGGATACTGGACAGTTTCCGCCAAATAATTGGGGATACATCCCAAATGAAAACTTTCATGTTGGACTGTGCCCAGACTATATATGTAAATAAACTTGTTTGCGTTGCATTGAAATAAAACTTTTTATCTAATATTCTTGTGTTTAATTTGATTTGCTTGCGGTAGGAGTACGGCATGCTAGACCGGTACTCCCTGGGATACGAACTTTTTAGTATGCGTAAGTGTAATTCTATACGAACGCTATCGATTAATATAGGTGACGACTTATATGGACTTTAGTCAAGCCTAAAGATCTGCCTAAAGTTACGCGATCACGTCTCCTAACCACAGGTGAATATATAGGAACAAGTGAGAAAAAACCTAACAAATGTATTCGAAATGTAAGAATAGAACTTAGGCACTGAGGTAGAGTCCGATTTCGTAAAGGATTAAGTGTTTTCAAAAGTAATACATTGCTGTTATTTCACTTGAGGCGTGATGTCAATCTGTATGACTACGGGTGTTAACGTATGATGCAAAATGAAGTCTACACGAGACAAATAATTGATTAAATGAGGCTGTGGCAATCTCAGCACCATTTCACTCACATTAAATTTGCCCACCAATTACTTTGTCAGGTCTGACTGATAAGTCAGGCCTCCATCTCGCCATGATGACAAAATTTAGTTTCACTCAGATAGAATAAGAAAAGTATAGTAATCAGGATGTCAAATATAATTAATGAAAAATGATAACAAGCGAATGTCTTTACAGAATTGTTTATCGTAATTACTTTGACGGTGTTGAATTGCTATGACTGAGTTGACTGAAGTTAACGGACATCTACAAACAAGTGAATAAAGTGTATTTTTCGAATTGCTGAAGTCAATTAAATGTAATATAAATGTCAAACGCTTTATATTTGCCTGCCTTTGCTGAAAAGGTTTCGTTCTCCTTTCTGATCTTTTGGTGATGACAGCATTCTTTCGTGGTTTTCACTTTCCCACACATTGTTCATCTTGTAAAGTACAGCACTTAGCAAATAATATTAATTTAATATACATAAAGGCGTGTTTACAAGAAATGCATGCCATTCATACAGGCACAATTGCGATCGTGAAGTATCATAAATTAATGCTACCTCAAAAGTTTAAACCGTTCATTTATTGTACAAGCAATCAGAAAAGGTTATCACAAATGTTAAATTGTAAGCTTGTCAAAATGAACACAATATACTTGTGTAAGTGCAGTGCCCTAGCGTGACTAAAAGATATTTCAGGAGGAGAACAACGTCCTGAGAAACTGCAAAATAGCGCAAAGTACAATTATGGATAATACGTCATTGAAAGTACACCTACAAGACATATACAGCGAGTGGCTATAGAGTCCCTGGAATTGTAGTAAACATTCGCGATGTTTAATGCTAACCATATTGGTCTTATCATGGAAACTATGACCTTTCCGATGAAAATATAGCTTTGTTTTGTTGTTTTTCATCAAAGCAATCAGACTTTAGGCAAGCGACAAACATGCACAAAGGGTAATTTTTAGCTTTCATAAAGGCCTAGGTAGTTAAGATAAAACAGAGCATAATAGTGTGTGAATGGAAGATTATCGTGAGGTAGATAAGTGATATTTCAGTGAGGAGTGAATTCAAAGATCTGGAAGATTAGAACCCCTAAGACAAGCTGACCTATAAGAACTCTCACGAATTTCTGTAGGGCCCGTAGGGTAGTATCTATGTTCTGGCGTCATTCTGAACTTTGAAAGATGGCTTACACGTCTAAAAGATAATAACTATGGAAACTGGAGTAACACTCTCCATCTGTTCAGATTATTTCCCTTGGCTCGGTTTCTTATCAACAATTTGCAGTATTGCTAGTGATTTTATGGGAAGCTTGGTTTCCTCTTAATTTTCATCAACTGTCCGTTCACGCACAATAGCATACAGTAACTACATATACTCAAGCATTGAAACCTGAACATCACAAAATCCCTATAGATAACCTGTTGAACAATAAATGGTTTGAAAATGTGAGTCATAAGTGCAGCTCCCGTATCCTTCATTGCCACAGGAGAAGGAGCTCAGATATCTCAGTGATCTGAAAATGAATGATTATTAGGACTGGTATAACTTACGTAACAGGTGTACTAGTGGTAGGATGCAGCTGCTATCTACTACTCGACAGATAGGTATACCAACCACAAACTGTTTTACATTTCAAAAGGATCACTCATAATATTATTCTTGTCCCAGAGCACATTGATATCAAGATATGTTGATGCCATTTAATGCACTGAGCAGTTACGGTCTTCCGAAATTCCATGTGACAATGTAAATTCAACTGGTAACATATCTTCGGCCGAGCACTTTTAACCAGGAACTTCATCGAAGTGGACGTAATTACCACTAAATTCGCTGCATGATCTCTTCATTGTGTTGTGGAAGATTTCAATCATCACGGATGAAAATAAAGATGTTCAATCTCCTCAGAACATACATCTAACTTACGTCTATAGGCTTATTCTCTTTCAATTACCTGATCATCATAGATTAACTGCTATGACGACAACCATTGCCTATAGTCAATTTGCAACCTGAAAATCTAAAACAACTCGCAAATAACAAAGCTCTAAGGATCTCAAACGAAAATAATATTCATTTCTATGCATAACTTCTTGAAGTGCATGCCTTTCTTCTCACTAATTCGCCTGGGAAATCAGGACACTATTACGCATTAATACGAACACTACCGTAAAATATATCTTTTTTCGGCTACAGAAGCCTGAAACTAGTCAAATATACTGCATTTTCACAAAAATTATTGTTTATGATGCCTCTATAGGCGATAACCCATACAGACAGCGAAAATACATCGCGATAGCCTTTATCCTCACTCCAGAAGGAATATGTCATGCAGTCAGGAAAAGCGCCATTTAATCGGGACGGTAGATATTTGGGCGGACCAATTGATTTGAATCGCTGTTTGCGCTGCCGCTCCACTCTGTCTTGCGTTGCTTGACCTAGGTAACAGCAGTTGACTTAATTTTAACCCTTTTCGTTTTTTGGTTGATTTCTTTAAGTATCACGTTCCAAATTCCATTCCATGTATGGATGTAATGTCTGTTGATTGAGGATGGGCTTGAAGCCCATGATATTCCTTTGCTAGTAAATTTATGTTACAGAATAGATTTATATCTTACATGCATTTAATGTTATCGTAATAAGGTACTATGGAAATGAATTAGAAATAAATTGTTTGTACAAATCTTTATGGCCAATGTACTCGTCTGCCTGATCTTGTGATTCTTTCTGTTTTGTTAGACGGAATATCATCAGATTTTGAATCTTGAGATGGTGTTGATTTGGGTAAACATTCAGTCACCTCTATTTCCATGAAAGCTGGTTTTACGCGATCGATGCTTACAATCTCGTATTTTCCTTCGCGTTCGACAGTGATGATTTTGCTTGTTCTGCTTATTACTTTGAATGGCCCATCATAAGGTGGTTGAAGTGGTTTCCTTACACCGTCGTGTCGTATGAAAACATGCGTGCAATTTTCTAGTTTTTCAGGCATGTATGCTTGGTTGAGCTGATGACGCGGTGGGTGATATCTTAAAAGGCTCATATGTTGTCTCAGTTGTTGTACAAAAGTAGTTTCGTCAGCTGGAACTTCAGTGGCTGGGTTGAAATATTCTCCGGGTAGTCGTAAAGTAGTTCCATAAACTAATTCTGCAGGACAATATTTGATATCTTGTTTTATTGTCAAACGTATTCCAAGAAGTACAAGAGGTAATTTATCGCTCCACTTATCATCGTCCTTCACTGCCATCAATGATGCTTTAAGTTGACGATGAAATCTCTCCACTAAGCCGTTTGAACTGGGATGATATGCAGTAGTACGTACACGTTTGATTCCCAGTAGTTCTGTGAGTTGTTGGAATAAATGGCTTTCGAATTGGGCACCTCTGTCTGTAGTAATAATGGTGGGCACTCCGAAGTTGGAAATCCAATTTTGCATGATGCTCTTTGCAACGTTGCAATGTGATATCTTTGCCTGCGGTATGGAAAGGGGGAGAGGTTCAGACTATTTAATCTTTTCTCGTATGACCAGTTGGCCATACGAAGAATCATATGTTTCGTCTTCTTTTGTATCCTTTCTAGGATGTATAAATCCCCATTTAGCGAAGGATTGGCTGCTTGGATGTAGTTCTCCTATTTTGGCTTCACCAGAGATGTATATGAAGAAGTGGAAACATCAATGATTCTAGTTAGCACTGCTTATTGCCCATATTGGTCTAGAACTTTGAACTGACATACAATTCGCCTTCCATGTATGTTATAGGTGTTTCTTTTAAATGAAATAACTGCATTCATTCCAAAGCCTCAGGATGGTCGGGGGTGGGTGCCTTGCGCTGCGGGTTGGCCACCCCTCCACACACCTCTTGAAATGCTCCCATATGACTTGGCGTCTTACATAGCCTCTCCTGAGGAAGTCCTACTCACTGCCTTCACGTGGCGGAGGTGTTTTTCACCAAAGTGAGAGGGCGAAAGCGGATGCCCGGCGCTCTTCGCCGGGTTGACTGTCCATTGGATGAAAGTTTAGGGGAGATGGCTGAACCCTGATTCCAAACCTCCAACGACTGGCGTATGAAGCTCACTGTAGCCCACCGGCAGACGTATGGACAAAGGGCTTGTTGGATGTCCTGGATGTCTGGCCCCATTCAAAAAGGCGTATGAACCGAACTCCGGTCACCGGCTGCCAATGGATAGTGGACTCCCTACTCCACTCCTACTGCCTTGTAGGTCACACTTGGTTGTGTAAAGGCTAGAGCTGCACTCTCAAACAAAAGGCCGAGTGGTTCTGGGGACATCACTCGTACCAAATTCCCATGAAACTTCGTAAACTCTCTTCATCAGATCGCTGCGCCTGGGTAGCGATGATTTGAGAAGTTCATGAAGCCGGCTCATCCTTCCGTAGGAGATAGCCGAAGCAAAGTAAAGTAAGTAAGTATAAGTGCCACCCTGTGGCACACCACAATGCACTGTTATGTAGAAGGAGAGTTTTGACTTGACCTCGACTCCTTTTCTCATGCCTGTAGGCAATTCGCCAATCCAGTTGGTAAACCGCACTTCATTCTGAGACTTTCCAATTTTGTAAGGAGTCTTGAATGAGGTACTTAGTCGAAAGCTGTGCTGAAGTTTATGAAAATAACGTCGATGGATTTCTCGCCTCCTGGCCTGACCCAGCTTTCTGTCACTGTAAGGTTTGTCGGGCATGAGAAGTTTCCACAGAAGCCACTCTGTGGGCTGGACAAATTGTTGTCTCCCAGGTATGCCATGATAGTTTTCTTGATAATTCTCCCAAGTATCTTGATTGAGGTGCTGGTGAGACCAGTAGACGTGTAGTTTGAAAAACAGTGTTTAGATCCTCTTTCCAGTCGCGGTGTAACATTCCATTTGAGAGAAATGGCTCGAAGGTCTTAGTCAATGCGCCAGCCATATGAGCTGTCAGTTCCTTGAGGAGCCTCGGGTGAAGAACGTCGGGTTTCGTTGATTTCCCTGCGTGTAGTTTATCTAGGGATTGGAATACGATGTTTGGGTCGATATCGATGAAGTCTATCTTGTATTCCTCTGATGCGGCCAGGTTTGATGCAATGGAGGGAGTGTGGCGACTCATGTACGAAGACTTTGCTTCTGCTTCTTCCTGATCCTCCTAAATTGTATCGTCATCAACAGTCAGGTTTGTGACGCAGTCGGATGCCTTAGTCCTGAGGCGCATAGCGAAAATTTTTTCGGTTTTCTTGCCCATCTTTTGTGGGGTACTATATTGACTCACTTTCTTAATGCAAAATTCACTGGAACAGCTTTTCCTGTGACCGGCATTTTACACCCTCCTCCTGGCATGCTTCTGTTTTTTCCAAACGGATTCTACCATACAGTTTCGCAGATGGACGATCTGCGCTGTTCTCGGTTCAGTCTTCCGGGATAATGTTTTCATCTCTTTGTCGGAGACCGAACTGGCTGACTGGTTTCAAAAAAAGAACTGCACAGATGTACAGCATTTCGAGTCGCTACACTCCTTCCATGTACCAAACAAAGCAAGACAGAAGAGTAAAGAGGGATTCGAAAGAGACAATAAACAAGAATATGAAGCAAAAGGAATAGTAATATGGAAGAATAATAGGATTTTATTGGATATTATAAATCATGAACAGTGAGTGCATCTGCGCCACTGAGAACGATTTTGAATCATATTACTAATTGTCTCCAGCTACTGGTCTTTACCATCCCGAGGACCCTAACCAGAAACTATACACCTCCCAACGTGACTAGCTTGAAATAACTGTTGTGGATTTCATTGGCTGATGCTGCGTTTCGGTTTGACCACCGCTAGATTTTACCTAACCCTACCTCGCGTCGGCTAGCATCGCCCGTCAAGGAAGGTGATGGCTAGGCTAGGCGTACGTAATACATGCCCTAACCATCTCAATCGGTGTAACTTCACAACCTCGTTGATTGATTCCTCCTCATTACCCAACACTCAATGCCTTACCTCAATATTGCTCACCTAACTATACCACTTAACACGGGAGATAGAACGCAGACACCTATGATCAAAGACAGCCAGCCTTTTCATGTCTTCCATCTATAATGGCTTTGTCTCACAGCCATAAAGGAGGACAGAAAGAACTGCTGAGCAGTACACACTCCCTTTGATCGATAGCCGGATACCTTGTCTACGCCAGAAATGGCGTAAGTTGGCATATGCTAAATGAGTCTTCTGTATCCATGCTGAGATTTCGTCAGCGATCAACCTGTTGGCGTTGGTCAACACGCCCTACCACTTCACTCCCTAAGAGTCAATGTAGTCCAGTCCTATAGCATCATCTAACATTTGACAACAGGAGCGAATCACATGCCAAACTTCGGAAGACTGCTGCTCAAAGTGTTCAGAAGACTGCATTTTGTCAGCGTCTTTGCCCAGGAGGACTATATCATCTGCATATTCTAAGTTATTGAGATTATTCTCTTGTAACAGACAATTCAATCCCTGAGTCACTGAAGTCAGTTAGGGTTAATTCCATTAGTACATCTGTGATGAAATTAAACAGAAATGGGGATAATGGGCATCCCTGACGGACACCACTACTTGTCACCACTTCAGATGACAACTCGCCGGAAGCTCTTACCTGGCTAACTGCATGAGTTCGAGTAGAGTGCCTTGATCGGTGCAATGTATTTTCTCGGCATTCCTTTTAAAGCCAAGCATTACCATAGTACCTCTCGGTCGACAGAATCGAATGTCGCCTTCAGGTCAAAGCATATGACGACTTTTGGACGCTGGTAAATATGCCTATGTTCCTGAATCTTTCAAAGGGTAAAGATATGATCAATACACCCTCTTCCTGATCTAAAGCTTGCCTGGTTCTCTCGTGTCTGTTCCTCCTGAGCACCGCTTAGTCTACGCATGATTATTGAGCCTAGACTTTAGATAACATATTAGTCAAGCTAATCCCCCTGTGATTATCACAGGAGGACTTGTCTCCCTTCTTGTATATCGGGATATTCAATGACTTATACCAGCCCGATGGGACTTCCTCTGATTCCCAGACGCTGGCTAGTACCTTAGATAATGCAGACAATAGACTGTCTCCGCTATCCCCAAACACCTCTGGAGTCATTCCCTCAGGTCCTGCCCCTTTGTCTTGTTTTAGACCAGTGACAGCTTCTGTAACCTCAGTTAGGGACGGGGGCCCTGTGTGTCTATATCCCATTCAGAGAGGTGTTGCATGCTGGGTAAGGTGAGCGTGGCTGTAGGCCAACTAAATTGCTCCTCAGTGTTCTTTCCAACATTGCAGTCGTCTATCCTGACAGCTAATTATGGCGTCATTTTTCTCAGAGATTGTTTCACTTATCACTTGCCTTTTACCATCTGTTTTCCCAATGAGCCTAAATAGTTGTCTGGTGTAACCTATTGCCGATACCTTTTCTATCTCCTTCGCTTTTGTCGCCCACCACTGTTCACGGCCGTTATGAAGGCTTCTTGTTAGTTTACATCTGAGTAGCTTTCGCTCCTCATCACAATCGGAGGTCGCCGGAATCAGTCTTCTTACGTTAATCAGTTCAAATGGGGCAGTAGAAATCCAATGTCTCTAACTAAATTTTGTTTTGATGTTATGAACAGCCTTTACAGTTGTGTCCACAGCTAACTGTATGTTGTGGTTGTGGTTTTAGTTGGTCACACGAAAGATGAGTTTAACTTTTTGTAGCAATTTTGAGGAAATTTATAGAAATAGGAACACGTTCCCGTAATCCGCGATGTTTTCTCCTAATAGGCAGAAACTGTTGCTCAACAGATATGGCGAAGTAAATGGGTCGGAGATATTTTCAGATCCCCAAACGACGTATTGTAGACCCTCGAGTAAGGTCTGAACGGGACGGGATTGGCTGGCCGTTGGAGTAAAGTGAATGTTGTGTGAGAACTGTAAAACTTTTAGTTAGTCTCAGAGTCAGCTAAGAAATTTGGTAGAGGATAGAATAAAATTTAGATGTGCTGCTGAGACCCCATTTTCCACTCGAAACGCAATAAATGGGTAATGATATCCTAAGCTGCATATAGCAGAAGAAAAATAAAATAGGATGTACTCATATTTGCCACAATCCTTGTTTTTCTCGCTTCGAGGACGAGGATTGAGGCAAGGTATGTGAAGTAACAAGCTGCTCGTGATATTAAATCGTTATTCGTTTGAATTTCTAACAATAGTTTGATAACTTGGATATTTTATTTTTGAGCAAATTGTTTTCCTTTTAGATATCATTTCTTCCTATATCTGACAGACACAGTGTTGTCATCCTTTTTTTCTTTATTGGTTTCCAAACAGGACTTCGCTGCATTTATCACTGAATGACTATCAGGAGAACACAAGTATTATGGTAAGTCAACACGTTAAACTGATGCGGTTTAGCTTGTTTAATATCTGTCGACGAAGCTTCGCTTGTGTTCTTAATAGACTTGATAAAGTCTCTATTTTTGCTTCATGGGATGCATGTGAACATAAATTTAAAAGCCAGTTAGATCTTCGAAGTATTCCGACAGTTTCAACCATACTCAGTAAAACAGCATCCCTGCAGAGTACAGCTGCACTACGAAAATGGCAGGAAAAGAAAAAAAGTGAGCTTGGTGAAGATGGATTCCAGGAGTACATGCGAGGTAAATTCTAAAGCACAAACGTTTTTGTTAGATAGGACTTCAGCTTATAGGAAAAAGTGTTCATTCCAGCATTGAAGCTCGACTTCTTAAGGGTGAATTTCCTTCTAATCTGCCAGAAGACATCTCCAAGTATTGCGAGAGTTTGAGCTACATTTTGGATGACTTAAGGTCTACTGCTGTAGAAACTAATTGTCTTCATCCCCAGCTTTTGTATCGCGGAAGGTTCGATAGCATAGTTTTTCCGAAGTAAGCTTCGTTTCCCTGCTTTTCTCATATATTTCTAGTTTTGTGGTGTCATGAAATGTTTATATTACATAGAATTTTCTAGGATTATATTTTTAAACTAAGTGGTTCTGGGGATTTCGTAACGTATTAAAAGTTTTACTTTTTCCTAGATTTCCAGTTTTTGATTTTGAATGGCTCTTAATATTTTCAGATGTTTATTATTTTCATAAGAATCCGTCTGCATTGTAAATAAGTGTTATCACTATCAGTATCCTATAGTGCCAAAGATATATTACCGTATAGTTTCATGTTTTGGATGAGTAGACTACGGATTTTCTAAATGTAAGGTAATAGTTCCTAATATACAGGTAGGGAGTGTTGGTAATTTCATTTGCTAGACAACTCTCATCAACACTAATGAATGGACGCAGACAAAATCGTAGGAGGTGCGCATAGGCTTCTTTGGTACATACCCACTGGGATCACCTTAGACACCACGTACATATTTGGCTATCCATTAGAGGTTTGTATCGCAAAGCAATTCACTGTTCTACCTTTCAACTGAAACATTGTTTCTGAAAAAAGAATTAGAACTCTACAGGTTTTCGACCATAGGTGCCTTGATTCAAGGTTTTACATCAGGGGGAGCAGTGTGTTAAGAAATGCTGAGACTGAAGTTAGTCCTATGTGAATGAAATACATCACTGAGTGAGTTTGCGAATCCTATTTTTCTAGATGTCTTTCATAACAAGGAATCCTTGCCAAAACTTATTAATCTTGACCCCGAGTTACAATTTTATCATTGATCGCATTTTTGAAACATTCCGATGACGTAAACAATAACGCTATCTAATTTTTATTCTAGTCTGCGAATCATCGGCTGAGACAGTTGGAACATACATTACACATCATAATCTGACGTTTTTCTCGGTGGGTAATGTTGCGAGAAGTGGCCAGAGTGAGAAAAATTGCACGTCTCTTTAAAGTTATTAATCTAAACCAAGTAGGACGGTGTGAATTGCATGGTTGGGTTTGTAAGAGCGCTAAGAATTGGTGGTGGGAAACTGTTAGTTAGACAGCTCAAAATCTTTCACAGTAGTGCAGATGTGTTCACTACTCTCCATTATATATTATATTATTATTATTACGTCTCTGTCGTCATTTTCGTGTGCAGTATCGTGAAATGAAACTTCTGTAGAATGTTCATTGCTGATTCTTCTTGGTTGAAAACCAATCTGATGTCAATATATCTATTTATTTATAACACAAAATTTAATACAGTATCGGCACCAACAGTAAAACAGTATGTAAAGAAAATAGGGAGAGGATGAATAAATGATTTCATCCAGAAACGAAGCAAGTATATTTGACAAGATCAAATAACCTGTTCGCCGTTGATTGTGACTCTTGGCCATATCTGATTGCGTTTTGAGCCACCGACTCGAAATACCTCTTGGACCCCAGCCAGGGAGTGGTGATGCACTAACCGATTCGGATCTAACACTAATATCCTTCATCCCAAAAAGTGACGTCATAGGTTGACTACGTCTCCGCTCTTCCCATCCAGTCTCATGCGTAGCTAACAAAGACCGGTGTGGAAGCCTCTGGGATGACATTCGTGGCACGTCAACGTTGATGTGGTGGGAAATGCAGTTTACATTGGTGGTCTTCGTTTCTGCAAACTAAATCAGTGATGTATTATTAACACATTCTACTTTTAACCAGTGGATTCCGGTAACCATCAAAATTTGTTTTACTGTTACCAACCCTCACAATAGGCGTGGATGTTTGCTGAATGTATAAATTTTTATATGGTGTTTGGTTGCATTTATTTGTAATTTTTTTATAATGCTGACTTATTAACGGAAAATTCAATTCAGAAAATGGTTTCTAGGGTATAAGTCAATTAAATTTTTAGGGCATATGTAACTATGTCTGAGTGATATTTTTGGTTTGAAATTTAGAAACATAGATGAACCCATTTTAACTGAGTGGAAGACAGTGCATGAATGCAAACGAATAACAACTATTGATCAGACTTACGACAGTCCACTGCAAGTTGCTGCATATATTGGAGCTTACAATTTTACACGTTACCCTTCATCTCCACTGGTAAGTTTCCATTTTGTAAAATGCAACAGGCTTAGTATTACTCAGGAGTAATTTATTTACAGAATGTCTATTCACTTGTTTCGTTAATGCATCTGACCTATGTGGCATACATCTTCAAGTACTAATCTATAAAATACGTTTGTTTTTGTTTTTAAAGGCTTATGGTACGACTAGGATGCTAAGCTATAGTGGTTGCAGAGAAATTTGAGACCTGAGTTAAGTAACTGAAAGTTAAGTGCCTAAACCAATACGCTACATCTCTGCATTGTAAGTGTGATTTTATACTTTTCACTCTCACGGTTTAGTATCAGCCAAGTATATCCCCTGCAATTACAGTCTGTATGCAGGTAATGCCGAAATCAGTTTACTGTCCATAATTTGAAAGTATGATATTACAGAGTTGAAAATCAGTAACTTGCTTTACATATTAGGTATTATATCGTTAAAGTATCACTTATTGGACTTTATAATATTATGTATTCTGTAGCGCTGATTGCACTGAGTTCCGCACTCATTGTTCACTGGCATTTTATATGATGTAACATATTCTTTCACAGTTTATCTTTCTATTTAATTTCAAACTAGTTCAATTTTTGTCCACAGCTTGCAAATCCGTTTATTGTAAATTGTTTCTCACCACCGTTTGGTGTTCGCATCACTTCGAAGATCACACATATGAATATATATGTATATATATTCCTTTGCATTCCTATTGGGATATAGGAAATTTGAAGTTTCAATACCGCTGGTGTTTTCACGGAGTTAGGTTGTTAGTCTGACGCCCAACCTCCCCTGCTTTATGGTTTTACCACCGGCTAAGCGGGGTTAAGTAATGTGCCGGTTCGCAGTTGGACCTGGGCTACGTGTATAGATGATGGCTATTCTGTACCTGAACCGCGGAAGCATATGTATATATGCGTATATATATATATTATTGTGTTACAGCTCTACTTACTATGCTTTGGTAGCTAAATGTCATCAGGGGCCATTTAACAGGTATGAGTAGTCACATAGCGTATAAACCCATACAGGAGTTTCTCATATAATCATTTGACTCACGTTCTACTCACTGTAATAAATAAAGGAATGTGTTGCACAGTGTAGTCAAATAATAAGCCCTTAACAGCGTGATCTGTACGTTTGTAAGTATACAGTCTGACCAAATTCCCGAAAACACTATATGTCCTATGTATTTTGTAGGCAATAGTGACTAAAAGAGCAGCGTAAGGCGTGTGCAGCTAGTACTCTTAAGGTGATTATATTTCCCGGCCAACCAAAATTACTTAATTCGAAAATAATAATTCTTAGAGAGCTTCTAAAAAAGGAAAAAGGAAACACGGGATTTATTGAAGATACTTTCTGGTGGTTTAATTTGAAGTTGCAGCTATATAATAATACAATTTGTTTAATCAGTGTATCTGATATTTCTACATTTAGAATGCTTAATAAGTAGTAGAATCAATGCAAAGCCGTGTGTGGTGATCAAAATATAATGGAGATTTATAGTCATAACCCTGATTTACTGTTAACATTACTTGTAGGTTATAATTCGCTTAATTTTTGTTAACCGAGGTACTATTTAACCACAATTTTTTATGCTGTTTACCTGCGTTTATGATTATCTCATAAGACAAGTAAACTTGGATGTGTTTTAGTTAGAAGAGTATCAGATTATCAATAACTGAAATTGTTGGGCACCTGATACTATGTTTCAACCTGCACTTTTTTATTAACTATTTATAAGTGTTTAAATGCTAGTAGTAACTATAGTTGCTTAGCTGTCTTATTACAATTTCAGAGTAAGACATTTTTAATTGTTGTCCATTTTGAAAAAGGTCAAAAAAGGTATGCTGATTTATTCATATGGCGATGGTTATCCAGCATCACGAATTGTTTTGAATGAGACTGACCTGTTACACTATTGGGACTTGTGGTGCGAACGTGTAAAAGCTTATCGGGATCAGGTATGTAGTGTTACATTTTCCAGTGTTATCAAGTGATTTTCCTGTTTTTTTGACACTCTGTGTATACGACAGAGCTGTAAAACTCATTCACTACTTGTATCGCGATTTATTAGACATGTGATGAGAGGAGAGTGGGTCCTGATCGTTCGTAATATTTTCGTAAATCTGATTGAATGTGGTAATATGAAAACTTTCCAAAATTCTTGAATTTGTCTAGGATTTAGCGACAAATTTCATCTCTTACGTTAGTATGTGTGTGTTGCACTATAGTTTCGATTTTGCGAAATTCGCGATTGTTTTTTACAGTTTCTGCTGTTTCAGTGAAGCTTTTTGTTTAACATAGCATTAACGTTGGTAGTTAGTTTTAAATCTCATAAACCGTTTAAACTAAAAGTAAACACCAAATGGAAGACAAGTCGATATAGATAAAGGTGTAATTCTGTGTTGGTTTGTCTCTAAATGGCTAGGTTTCGCAGCCATAAAGGAGGACGGAGCGGACTGCTGAGCAGTACACACGCCTTTTGGTCGATAGTCAGATATCACGTTTAAGCCAGAGACGGCGTAAACTGACATGTGCGAAACTAGCCCTCTGTATCCGTGCTGAGATTTCGTCAGCGACCAACCTGTTGGTGTTGGCTGATGCAACTTCCCAAATAAGTGAAGTGGTCAACACGCTCTATCACTTCACTCCCTGTTTCTAATCTACGAGTCAATGTAGTCTACTAGGTCGCAGTTCCTGTCATAACAAAACTCTTTTCCGACTTTCTCTGTATCATCTTTGCCGTTGGAAACTTTTTGAAATTTGGTAGTCTCTTGGAGAATGCTGTTCATCTTATCGATGTTCTCAGCTTTATCTAGTAGTACGATGCCAGCCCTCTAATCCAGTCTAGTTAGGGGTAAAGTATCCTCAGAACAGCCCATATTGAAGCCTGAAAAGGAATCCGATGAAACGAGAGCATTCTTATAACTAAGCACTAGTGTTTAACTTCCAATCTTCTTTACCTTTTACAGACTAACATTCGAAGCTCCCCTTTCTGACTTTCGAATTCATAAGTGAGTTGCATTGTCTCTATCTTCGAGTTTGTGTGTTCGAAAAATCTGTCTATGTCCTGTATTCTAAGAACCGTGAGTGTCACCTACATATCTTCACCATACTTTTAGGTGGTGCTGAACCATTCAATCGCTAAGTTTTCCCATCTATCCATGAATGTATCTGCCCCAGTCGGGGATATTGGTGACCCAATGGCAACTACCTCAGTCTGTTTGTATATTTTCCCTTGGAATTTAAATAATAGGCAAGTCAGCTATAGTTGCACTTCCAGCATTATATATTCTAGTGGCACTTTTCTTCTAAGTGCAACTTCTTGGTCAGAAATGAGTTCGTTTCTGGCTGTTTCTACAGCCGTACGTGCACAAAAACTGAAAATGTCAAAAGTTATCATTTTTCCTCACTATCTAATTTTAATGAACGAAGATTCCCATATTGAGTCATTAGAAAAAGTTGTTAACAGCGAAGAAAATTTTCTTTTCGACGATTCATAATTTTATTTAACAAAGTAATCTTTAGACCAATCAGATACTGGTAAACTTTGTCCTCGGGAAATGTATTACTTAATGTAAGGTGTAACCTAGAAGGGATGATTAATTGTAAGTCAAAAAAGAGGTAGAAGTTAGCATGACGTAATAAGCGTGCGATAATGACTAATCAATAAACTCGTGTAGAATGGATAGGAACTACTGCAAAGGAGATAGTGTTTTTATATAAAATCTGTATGAAAAAGTAATGTTGTTAATAAACAGTAATAGAGTGGTAATAAAATATGGATGATGGGAATAATAATGACAGTAAAATAATAGTAATAATAATAATAAGTAAACTTAGATAGTAAAAAAGAAGCAAGATTATAGTAAGAACTTTACTCTGGCCACGGTAGGGCGAGTGAATGTATGTAGCGTTTTTGAATGCAGAGGTCCGGTTTCGAATTCCGAATAGCTAATGCTTCAGCTATGTACAGATGGCGTATGCGATGTCCGTTCGTACGATATTGAGGGACTCTGTGTAGCACTGTGAAGCATCCATGCAAGCGGGGGTGCTCGATGTCCAGAGATGACAAGGTGTTCGAGGATAGAGCTGCTGCTATTCTTCTTTTCTCCTCTGGCTAAACAATCTAGACAGTGTTCCAAAATACGTTTGTGGACTTGACGTTGCGTACGGCCGATATACTTTGCTCCACACGAGCAAATAAATTGATAAATACATATTGAAGTGACCAAAAGCGGTATCTTATCCTAAACGTTAGACTGGGTTAACTGTCTGCTGGAGAATGTGATACGTAGGGTGGATATTGGGAATGTCTTCTTCAGATATTTAAAAAGGCGGTTTCTAAGAATTTCTGCTGCGATGTCACCGTTGAATTCCAGGTTCATGAAGAGGGTTTTCTTAGGAACAGTTGCGATGTTTGGCGACGGAGGCTTCTCTTTCATGTTTATGTCTATGAATCTTGGTGGATACCCGTTCTCTAACAGAGTCTCATGTAATAAATTTGATTTTTTCCCTTTCATATCTTCCGAACAGATTTTTCTAATCCTTGAACTTAATGTACGTACCAGGTTTCGTTTTCGGATCGGCGGGACGAAGCTCTGGAAGTTGATAAACTGTCCCGTCCGTGTTGGCTTGCGATATATCGATCTTTGGATCGTACAATCTTGTCTTCTGCTACTTACCAGAAGACAAGATTGTACGATCCAAAGATCGATATATCGCAAGCCAACACGGACGGGACAGTTTATCAACTTCCAGAGCTTCGTCCCGCCGATCCGAAAACGAAACCTGGTACGTACATTAAGTTCAAGGATTAGAAAAATCTGTTCGGAAGATATGAAAGGGAAAAAATCAAATTTATTACATGAGACCCTGTTAGAGAACGGGTATCCACCAAGATTCATAGACATAAACATGAAAGAGAAGCCTCCGTCGCCAAACATCGCAACTGTTCCTAAGAAAACCCTCTTCATGAACCTGGAATTCAACGGTGACATCGCAGCAGAAATTCTTAGAAACCGCCTTTTTAAATATCTGAAGAAGACATTCCCAATATCCACCCTACGTACCACATTCTCCAGCAGACAGTTAACCCAGTCTAACGTTTAGGATAAGATACCGCTTTTGGTCACTTCAATATGTATTTATCAATTTACTTGCTCGTGTGGAGCAAAGTATATCGGCCGTACGCAACGTCAAGTCCACAAACGTATTTTGGAACACTGTCTAGATTGTTTAGCCAGAGGAGAAAAGAAGAATAGCAGCAGCTCTATCCTCGAACACCTTGTCATCTCTGGACATCGAGCACCCCCGCTTGCATGGATGCTTCACAGTGCTACACAGAGTCCCTCAATATCGTACGAACGGACATCGCATACGCCATCTGTACATAGCTGAAGCATTAGCTATTCGGAATTCGAAACCGGACCTCTGCATTCAAAAACGCTACATACATTCACTCGCCCTACCGTGGCCAGAGTAAAGTTCTTACTATAATCTTGCTTCTTTTTTACTATCTAAGTTTACTATTATTATTATTATTACTATTATTTTACTGTCATTATTATTCCCATCATCCATATTTTATTACCACTCTATTACTGTTTATTAACAACATGTGTATGATAGATCTTGATTCATTTCGTGAAACTGCATCTTTCATTTTATTTTCAACTGTAAATTCTACGTTGGTAAATGATTAGACACTGCTATTAATTGTAATTTTTTTGTTTTACAATGGATTCCTCTCGTCAGCAGGCTTCAGTGTGATAAATTTTGGCAAATCGGCACATATTTCCTTTCTTGTAATAGTTGACAACCGGATTTCGGATACCACACTTTCTCACTAGATTATTGTCGTTATCATTTATACTGTTTAAAGTACTATCTACATGTTCATTTAATTTATGACTTGATGATGATGATGCTATGACTAGTTTTTTTCCGTTTATTCGTCTTTGTGTGATGTTGGCGGTGTTGGTGGGTGGACTTGTATCTGTTTTCTGTTACTTTTGTTCGTCGTGATTGTGTTGCTGTAAAGTTACATGTTTCTGGATCATTTAGAAAATAAGTTTTTTTTTGAAAAAGTAATGCTTGTCAAGAGGATGGTGTTAGAGATGAAGACGAAGCAAAAGCTGATTCTATCGGAGCTTCTGGTTGTAATTGTTTCGCATCACAGACAGTATAGATTAGTTGCATACGGTTTACTGCATGAATGACGTCGGCGGAAATCATAATAATAATGTGACTTTATTGCATTTTAATGGAGTGTAGTGACATGCGTTCTGACATAATTTGTTACTTTTATTATATCTCCTGTGCATGAGATAACTGACAATTAATACGACAGTGGGTAAAGTAATTATACACACTGATATTAAGCCGAATATTAAATTGTACATATTTAATGTAATCTTAATTCTCCTCATCTCTGTACAAATATTCTTGAGTTTATTGATCTTCCGAATGACTAAGGTGAATTATTTGGTTGTATGTTGTAGGAGTAGTTTCTTGCAGGTCTACAAGTAAATTTTTATCTGTCTTATTATGTGATTTCATTATTTCAGTTGCCTTAAACGTATGAAAAGTAACTGTTTTAGTTAAATTACCTTGCGTTGGTGGCACGGTGGTTAGGACTCCCGCCGACCACGCTCATGGTTCGGGGTTCGATCACCTTCCGACGCACACCTGATATCAATGGTCGGCCTGCAATATTTAGGCTACTGATATCACATGCTGAAAATTCCATACTTGTACCAATAATACGGTGTGTAATCAAGGTATAATCAAAAAATATGTATTCAAAACAAACTGCTTGTAACCTTTCTTTTTCTGGCTTACAAGACTTAATTCTCTGTTTCGTGCATGGGATCTTAATGAACATCACATGTTTCTCTGGCGCACTTGGTCGAATGCCACACCAGTAGTGTGAATGTTGATAATGCTGTCTGAATATCTGAATCTCGGTAGGTGGAGCAGGGCTCGAAACCGTGACCCACTAGTTAAAAGGTAAGTGCTTAGTCGAATAAGTTCCCACGTCACAGATGAACCATAAGAATTATTCACTTAAAAAACGATAATGGTATTAGTATGTTCAATGCTTCTTCATGTTTATTTCAGTAGATTTAATTGTAACGCCTTAATTTCTGTGTATTCTTAAGCTTGCTAGAAAGTACTCAGTGTTCTTGGGAAATTCCCGCTTTAAGAGCCATATATCTGTTTAATAACAACATTAATAATACAGTTCAATCGATTCGTCTGATGCATACTTCTTGTGTGCTGCTTTGTGAACCAATTTTAGTGTGCAACAGCTGGTGATGCTGTATTTGGGTTTAAGAGAATTTTGATGGAAATACGTTTCAGTCCTAGGTTAAGTAGCTCTTGTAGCCAGAAGCCAAACATTTAAAGTAGTCATTCGTAATTAGTGGTTGTTTTCAATTATCACGTTCTAAGTATATGTTGTTAGCATTTACGGAATAGTGTTCTTCCAGAATCTACTGAAAATACGTAAACGTATATCATCAGTGTCCACTCCATAAGCTTTGACTCAGGACTGTGTTCCATTTATCGAGTTAGTATCAGTGTCTTGTTTCTTGGATAATCAAATCACCCACATGTCGATATCTTCGTTACACCCACTTAGAAGTACCTTAAAGTTACATTATTTGTTATATTGGATTTAGCAGTTTAAGTGATGTAAGGTCGCAGCTGCAGATGGGAACTTAACCAATTCATCGTAAGAAATTTTTCATGTGTTTGTTAATAAGTATTAGCTGTTGAGCTATAAGTCACGATATCATATTCAAATAGTGACTTTTGCAGTACCAATTAAAAACTACTGGGCCAAAGACATCAAAAGAAGTCGATCATCGTTAACTTTTTTAAACTAATAGTTTCTACCGGAGTCTACAAGGCCTTAGGTTTTGCTTCGTAATTACATTAACTTCACCAGTCGTTGTTTAAAATTTATCTGTGCTGTTTTGAGTTGCTAGTTAGTCGTTTTTAGAAAATTGACCTCCAGTGTTTTATCGAATGCGGCCACTCTGAAATGCTTACCGTATTTGCCACATCTAACTTCTGCACAATGATGCAAGTCGGAGGACAGACATGCCTGTCCAGAACCATGGAGAGCCTCGCTATTGATGTATGCTGCATCACAGTGACCTGCATACAGATCCCAGTGATGTGCTTCGAATATCTCAATCTGAAGGTTTTAATAATGTGTACCACGTACGCTTATCTAGAGGCGTCGGGGCATCCGGCTTAGCTGATGTCAGTATCGTACTAAGTGTTAGAGCTGAAGCTGCATTAATTTACTGGATCCCCATTATTATTAGTCGTTTATATGATATAAAGCTAAAAGGTTACGCTAGAGTGAGAGGAAACTGGCCTTAGAAGTGTTACCTTCTCGTTATGCCTACCCATGCACACTCGTCTGCAGCCCGGATGCAACTATGGACAGGTTTTACTATCGATTGAGTGAGCTCAAGAATGCTTATCTATCAGATTATTATGGTGTTGGCCGGAGACTGGAATCCTCTAGTCAGGCATCTAGGTTCAAATCGATTTAGACTGAAGTCTAGCTACTTACTCTTGAAATGTAATGTAATGTGAACAATAATGTAAGTATTTCGATATGATAATACATTAGTCACCTATATAGTATTTGGTGATTATTAATAAGATTTTCGAAGTATGTATTTTGCTGTTTCTGGTATATATATATATATATATATATATATATATATATAATATGTCGTCCGTTCTCAAAGATCAAAGGCATCGGAAATACTTGGTCGATAAGAAATGGCAGTCACAGAACCTACATCCAGAGGTCACTATCATATGTTTACAATAGTGACCTTTTGCTAACACACAGTCTGACTTGTGTTTGAGTAAACTTACCTTAGTTGAGTGGTTCTAATTTTGTTTTTGTGTCCTATTTTTTTAGTTTTGTAATCCTCCAAATGAAGAGTGAAAACAGTAGTATTACGCACACTCAACATGTATTATTGCGCCATCCATCCATGCAAACCAAGTTCTATTTTGGGAAAATTCAAGTTATTTGTACCAATCTCACAAAATTATTATTCACACAAGATTGTATTCGTGTAATATATATAGTATAACCACTAATTCAAAGTATTTTGTTCCTTATCTGTTTTCAGTTTTGTGTAATCGATCGTCATATGTTTTGTATACGAATATGCGGCTTGCTTAGTTTTTAAAGCAATTACTTCCCTTTATGAATTTAGCCAACACAATAAGAAGGCGTAATTTATCTGAAGCGTGTAATACATTTGCTCAACATATTTCGGACATTCTCATCACACACGGACTTGTCATAGGAATCATATATGAGATTATATATGAAATTAATAAAGAGTTAAGAGGTGGGAAAATTAGGCATAGATCAAGTTAAAAGGACACATTGAAGGTCAAAATAACAATGGAGATCACTAAACCAAATAAGAGCGGTAGTAGTACATCTGCTATGGTATCAAAACAAAGTTTACCAAGAAAGGTTTAGTGTGATGACGAGTTGTTTTTGAACGCATAAATGTGGTTTAAACTTTCTAATTGCTACTCCCCAAAGACGTTTTATAGATAGGTTTAGAGGATGTGTGAAGATCAATTTTCTGTCCTGTCTCTATAATATGTTTCGCATTAGAGGAGCTAGTTCTCCTGTTCTCACCGCTAATAGGTTCTGGGGATTCTATTTGCTTCTGGAGCCATTTTGGAATACGCGCGATTTTTGTTAGATTGAGGCGCAATCAATTATTAAAATAAGGATGATCTCAAAAAATCTGACACCAACACCACAGAAGTCAAAGTAGAACGAAGTAAGGTAGTTAAAATTTAGGTGTAAAGTTATGTAATCCCTTGAGATGATTATAGAATGTGAATCCTAATATATTGTACTCTATGCTATTTCAAGTAAGCCGACTAAAGTTTAAGAGTATTTTGATATTTGTGCGAGCAGGTATGCTTGTGCTAGTTTTTTGGACTTTGAATGAACCTTATTTTATTCACGTAAACAATTAAAGAATAATTTTCATATTCCCGTGAATCATTCTATTAATTTCTTTTCTACTAATCGTCTAGTCACAACTCATGTTTCACTTTATGTTTCCTTAGCGTATACGACAGTTAAGGGACTAAGCACTTTCGATTTTCGTGCATTTCGTTATACATTAATAGTTACATGTCAATATTAGACTATGTGATCATAAAGAAACAATACAGTAGGTATTTGATTTAATTGGGAAGAACAGCTTGTTGGAATAGTGGCATCCGAAGTTACCAATCAGTCTATGCGATAGATGCCTAATGTTTCTGTCCTGGAAACATAAAAAAAGTTTGTTCTATTTACACCAATAATTATTAGAGAATTCTCAGTAGATGCCGTCTTGCCTTTTCTATGTTCTTGTCGTACATCCACCACACATTTGGAGACTGCAAAACTCTTACTATTAAGGAGCAGACACATATCATTGGTTACTCTATAGTAACCATTCATGTCGATTGTGATCCCATGCGGCTGCTTGGTAACACCTCTGGCTATGGCACTGGTTGACTGGAGTTCGAGTCTTCATGGTGACACCAGTTCTTCCAAGATACAGAGTGGAAGCGAGTGACAGCTAGCAACAAACCCAAATCTGGGGTTTCCTGTTGACTGCATCTATTTGTAGCTTTCATTTCAAAATTTTGTTTTAGTTGTTAATAAATTTTCATTTTCAAAATTTCTATTCATTATGCAAGGAACTATTAACTAGTCCTATTCATTTCTAAGTCAAAGAAAATATATTATTCAGTAGTATGAAGACATATGACATGTTTCCTTCCATTTTTGCTTAATCATATGTGGTCAGACGAAGGTGGATTTCATCATGTACTGACATAAGCCATGGAATGCTCAAAACCAGGAAACACTGGATGGTTGTTTCGTCCTATCTTGGGACTCATATGAAAATACGTTACTTTAGCATTTTTTGAAGTTGTATCGATTGGTCTACATAGCAGATATCTGTCATATAGACGTTGATTGCCTAGATTGCATGAATTGTCAATCATCATTGTTAGAATGCGCGAGCACAGGACATCATCCAATCAACTTGTTTGCCAAAATATGAATTAACCTATCTTCCTTTTGTCCAGTAAATAGGATCTTCACTAAGCGCATAAGCTTTACAACTGAAAATAAATTACCAGAATCCTTTAATCGCGAGAATTTATTTTGCAGACTGTCAAAGACCTCTAAATGAAACGGTTAATTACCTCTGTGAACAAATAAATATCAGGATCCCAGTAGAAATCCTTAAAGAACTGTTACTAATGTGCACCATGAATATACATTTTAGATTGGTTAGTGGCAATGAGCTCTCCATTGGGTTGCATGTTAGCATATTTATTTCTAAATAAACTAGAAAATGGCACTTTAAACAACTTTATCAAGAAATTCTCATTTTATTGCCGGTATATAAATGATACCTTATGAAAAATGATTTGGACAGGAACACAATAGTGTCTCAATTCAATGAAGTACATTCAGCTATCAAATTCACATGTTAAGAATTCCAAAATAAAATTGCCTTTTTAAACGTTGAAAAGCTCATCATGAGAAATATGACCAAGAGACTGGGGAAGAATATATATATATATATATATATAGTTTCTGTATGATGTCACTTGTAGGTCAACAAATGTACGTCTCATATTTATCGGCTGAGTACTGGCTGAAAAAAATTCAGACCGCCATTGGACATTACCTACGACGTCATGTTGCAAGCAACTGCCACAACATTTCGGCATGCTTATCATTCAGAGTCATTTATAGTGCGAACAATGGTCTACCAAGGATGGTGTTTTTATTTCTTTCTACTGCAGAAGCCCTCACTATATGCATCAAGAAGCTGGAGCCATGTTTTCAAAAGAAACTAACACAACCTTTGCGATTACCATACATTTAGTTCTGTGTGGCACCCTAGTTGTATTTTTTTATTTATTCCCTTCATTTTTCTCAGCTTCAATTATTAAAGCTGTTATTTTGATTTGTTTCTATGATCGCTTTGTTCACACTTGTCTTCGTTAAAAAAACTATTTTACATATTACGCGAGTATTTTTTTAATCCAGTGTGTAAGATATTAGCTAGTGGTCGCTCTATATCGTGAATTGGCAGAAGTTAGAATTCATGAGCCACTGAATCGGGTCCCATTGGCTGAATGGTCTACGAGCTCGTCTTGTAACCGGGAGGTCCTGGGTTCGAACGCTAGGATGAAACAAATGTCCAGTACTTCCTGGTTCTTTAACTGATATCAATCCTTGGTCAAACTCGTAAAAACAACTTTAATCCTTACAAATCAACTCTTGAAATATATGTTACAAAAGACCATAACAATCAGTTTCTTGGTTTATGCGTGTGTGTGTGTGTGTGTGTTAAAGTTTGAAATAATGAAGTGCTATAATAATACTGGTGTATAGGATTATGAGTTACAATTGATGAGATATATAAATGAATAACTAAATAAAAATAGAGATCAACCTAAAGTTGAACAGACAAGTGTGAAATAGATGATAGGGAAATAAAGTACATTCGGAAATGTCTTGTTTATGCATAATAAACAAAATTGTATTAGCTGTGATCAAAATTTGACCTCAGACTTTCATGGATTAGTCTACTTTTGTTAAACACTTTAAACAGTGTACTTTTCATCAGATTGCGTTCGACAAAAGTTCTTGGTCGTAGATAACAATGGTGTGTGTGTGTGTGTGTACTGACTGCGGAAGCCCTACATATATGGGTGAATCCCAACACTTTGAACAGACGTAAAGGTGTGATGTTAGCTGATGCATGGCAAGTCCTAATTAATAAATAAGAATGGATATGCATCATTAGTCAATCATACTTGATCTAAATTCCCGATTGTCTATATCTTCTGATGGAGAGGCTAACAAATGTTTTACAACTGTTTACCCATACACACACCATTGTATACTGCATTTATACATATATATATCATCTGATTAAAAGTACACTCTGTTTAAGGTGTTTAACAAAAGAAGACTAATTAGTGGATGGTGACTAGCAGTGGAATCCAGGATGCGCATTTCAACCTATTTGGGACTCGTCATCTGGATGTACCTGCATTTCCCACTGAGGCTCGAACCCAGTGCTCATAGTTTCAAACGCCATAGCGTTATCCACTAGACCACTTGTTTTCCTGTGGGATGACCTTTATTTAGGCGTTTAGGTTCATTCACTCTTATTTTGAGTGATCTGGACGTTTGACTCACATATTTAGTAGGACACATTAACATATTTTTTTCCATCATTTTTGTTGGATCTTTTTAGTTAATTTTGTTTTTATTTTTAATTAGATTCGTTGGTTTAAACGTGGTGCGAATCCCAATATTTTTGAGGTTTCTTCGAATTGCTTCTGATGTACCATTTTTCTGTGGTATTGTGATTGTTTATTTTGCCTTCCTCCTTCTAGTTATTCTCTGGTTTTACTGTCTTTTTTAGCTTCTTTATATTATCTCTGATAAATTCTTTTGGGTATTTTTTGTCGAGTAACATTTTGCCTAAGATGTTTATTTTTTTTGCTGGTCATTTGGTGTTGTTTTAAGTCTACGTATTTTATCTGCAAGACCTTGTATTAATCCTCGTTTCGCCGTGAGTGGATGAGCTGAGTGATAATCAAGGAATCTTCCAGAGTGTGTGGTTTTTCTATATAGCGTCGTTTTTGTGCTACCATCTGTTACTCTTTGTATTTTGCAGTCTAACATAAGCAGTTCTCCAATTTCATTCTCTATTTCCATAGTGAATTTTATTGAGTCTGCATGACTGCTTATGTGTGAGAAGAATTTCTCAACATCGTTCTTTTTATTATTACTAACGTGTCGTCTACATATCTCCACCATCATTTTATTGATGATCTGAATGGTTTAAGTGCATTCTCTTCGTAAAAATCCATGAATATGTCAGCTATTATTGGTGAGACGGGCGATCCTATGGCTACTCCTTCATTTTGTTGGTATATTTTTCCTTCAGATGTAAAATATGTTGTTAGATAAAAATTCAACCCCTCTTATTATCTCTTCTACGGATAATTGTGTCCTGTCTTTTAGGCCAT